TTTGCTATAGGGCATGTGTGCTTGCCGGAGAGACAGAGAGACAGTGAGAAACCATCCCCAGGGGAGATGGCCATGCAGCAATCCCTTTTCCTCCATTCTCCTCTGGGGATCTCGGGCACACAAGCACATACACCTGGCATGAGGTTTTTGGTTTTTTGGTTTGTTTGTTTTTGAGAGGTTTTTGCTATAGGGCACGTGCGCTCACCAGACAGACAGAGAGAGACAGAAAGTGAGAAATCACCCCCCGGGGGGATGGCCACGCCGCAATCCCTTCTCCTCCATTCTCCTCTCGGGATCTTGGGCACGCATGCACACGCGCCCGGCTTGAGTTTCAAGCCACCGGGTCTGGGACTCAAATCGCAGTCGACTACATGGGAGTCCAGTGACATAGCCATTACGCTAACTACTAGTCCCAGTTCTTGGGTTCTTTAAAATTATTTTAATCTAACTTTATTTATTTATTTATTTAAATTTGACCAGTGAGGGACAGAGTGAGACAGAGAGAAAGTGAGAAAGCAAGCTGCCAGGTCCAGAATTTGAACTGTAGTCGGCCATGTGGAAGTCCTGCGACGTTACCATTACACTATCTGTTGTTTCCATCTTTTACATTTATAAAGGGTTATTAAAATAAAAACAGATTGTGCAATAGAAATTGTGTACAACAGATCTTGTATCATTTATATCACATACATCTTCCCTGTTGGCTGTTGCCTGTTCAGTGGCAAGGAATTCATTTTACAAACCTCTGATTGCTACCCGTGTGCTTGGAAGGGATGGGGCTAGCATCAGATACTGTTGGGTAGTGAGCTGTAATCCAGGGAACACGTCCCTGGGTTTTGAATGCTGGCTGGGAGTCTGGCAGGAGAACATAAAGGATTGAAGCACAGAGCATGCTGCTGGAAGCAGTCAGAAAGCCACCTGCTTGTCTGCTGCTAGTCAGAGATGAGCCAGCTGTCGGTAAACATGAGGGCAGGAGTTCAGTGAGCAGGATGGACCTCATTTACATAACATCTCCAGCCCGAAGCACCTATACCAGGTGTAGGAGAGCAAGTGCCAAGAAAGATGCTAAGCTTTAGGCAACAGCTAAATAATTCTATTTAAGTCACACATATTAAACAGGTTTAAGGCCCAGCTGGTTGGCACAGACAGTGGGAAGCTACTGCAGATGCTGGAGCCCCACAGGAAGGCCCTGGGTTCAGATCCTGGAGTCAACCTGATCATGCCCATAGGTGCACCAGTGATTCTGGCTGGCTGGAAGCCCAAGGCAGGAATTGTCACATGGTGAGGCTCTGTCGGGTCTCTGTCTCTTTCTCATGATAGAAATATATTAAAAAACAAACAAAACCAAAAAAAGGGGTATAAAAATCTACCAAAGATGAAAGCAATATAGAGTTCACAGTATGTGATTAATAGGATCAGTTTCTGAAACTTCATCTCAAGGAAGTAAGATACAGAATGAATTACATTCAAATAGATGTTTCCAGTAGTATTCTTTTAAAAAGAAAATGGGAGGGGCTGGCACCTGGTGTGGAGCTGGACTCCCACATGGCTGACTGAGGTTCAAATCCCATACCTCACAGCTTGCTTTTTCTTTCTTTTTTTCTGGAAAGGTTTTTGCTATAGGGCCCGCGTGCTCGCCAGAGAGACAGAGAAAGAGACAGAAAGCCAGAAATCCCCCCCCACCCAGGGGGGATGGCCACACCACAATCCCTTCTCCTCCATTCTCCTCTTGGGATCTTGGGCACGCACACACACACGCCTGGTGTGAGTTTAAGCCGCCGGGTTCGGGACTTGCACCATGGTTGACTATGTGGGAGTCCAGCAACATAAGCATTATGCTAACTGCTGGTCCCACACTGATTTATTTTTCCATAAGGTGTGTGTATACTTGCCAGAGACAGACACAGAGAGGTAGAAAGTCAGAGAGAGGGAGAGGTAGAAAGCACCCCTCAATAGGGTGTGGGCACTCCACCATCCCTTCTGAATTTCTCCATCCTGTCAGGATTTTGGGCACACACAGGTGCCCAGCCTGTTTTTCAGGTGGCTGGGTCTGCGATTCGAACCTCATGGTTGGCCACGTACAGCTCCCTTAACCATTAGTTCATAGGGCTAGCCCAATCACACTAACTTTAATATAAATGAACCCTGAGGCATTACCAGCCCAGGATATGTGGCATCCTGTCCCCTGCATCACCTCACATCCAGGGTTACTCAGGCCCTGGCTTGAGAAGCTAACCAGCCTATACAGGACAGGAAACCAGACATCCATTAAGTGGCTACATCGACCTAAAACCACAGAGGGCTCCTAGTAAAACGTGTCAGCGGGCAAGGTCAGGGCAATGGGTTCTAGGTACTTCTACTCTTTTCCACTTTCTTGATTCTTGGTTACGTGGTTTTACCACCTTTATAACAAGAAACATAGTAGAAGAATCCTGCAGAGTTGCTAAGGCTCTTGGGGGTAACAATCGGAGGCAGATGATCACTAGTTTTCAATTTTGGTATTCTTTCCTAGACTAATTTTTTTTAAACAGAATTACTTATTTAATTCCATTTGTTATTTATTTATTTTTTTTATTTGAGCAGAGAGATACAGAGAGAGAGAGAGGAAGGGAAAGGGAGAAAGCAAGTCGCCAAGTCCAGGACTCAAACCGCAGTCGGCCATGTGGGAACACAATGCCTTTAGCCACCACACCACCTGCTGACCCCTCTCTGACTAATTTTAAGAGTAGGTTTACAGAAAATGTGAATCATAACAGCAAATCCACTGCATCAACTTAGCTATAACTCAAATTCAAATGAAAGAAAACCTGTAGGTCTGGACACAAGGCCCTGAAAGCGAGTGGGAGGACAAGGTGAAATACAGAAAACCATCAGGTATGCAGACACATGTACACCGCAGGCCCCAACACACTGCATCCAGTGAGCAGGTGGGTGTCTCATCTCAGGCTGAGTCCCAGCCATCTCACCTCGAGTTGTTACTTTTCCTGTCTGTTGGCTCATCCCCCAGGGATACCATGTAATACACAGGAGCATGCACTTGCTGTTCCCTGCCAAAGGTGGGACTGACATTATCTCAAGTGCTGGGAGGTTCCCAGCCAACCTGGAAATGCCAAAGCACTAAGTTAGCAAAATGCTGGCCCATGGCCTTCAAGGGGCAAAGCTGTCACTGAGCTGTATAGAAACTCTCCCTAATTTTGAGTTTACATCAAACGCCTAAAAGAAGTGAACAAAGTGATCTTGCTTTGGACCTCAAGTGGCATGGTGGTTAAGGTGCTGGACTCCCACATGGCCAATCACAGTTTGAGTCCTGGACCCACTCAGTGGCTTAAAAATCACGCGAGGTGCATGTGCATGTTTGGAGGGTGCTGCATTAAGTGAGTGACATGGGAGCCATCTTAAGAGCTATCCACCATCTTAAGAAACCTTTGAGTTTCACTTCCCTGTTGAGCAAACAATAACAGTGACGGTCCCGGAAAGCCATATCAGACTCCTGATTGGCTCCCTCTGAATCCTCATGTTGATTGGTCATCATCATGTGGAACATTCACTTATTGGTTGAGCCAGAATCCCTCATTTGCATTTAGGGCAATTTCCGGGGCACCAATGATTGATCTATCTGCGATACCTCATTTGCATTTCAGGCAACCAATCAATGCCCACCAGCCTGTATATAAGCTCGCCATTCTTTCTCTATAAATGAGACTTGATCAGCACCTCGTCTTGTCTCCACCCTGTTTGTCCCATCTCTCTCTCCCTCCCTCAGGTAACTGTTTGACTGTCCTGCGGATCTGGACGTGCTTGCATGCAAGCAAATCCCAGAGAATGGAGAAAGGATTTTGGTATGACCATCTTCCTGGGGGCGGGGGGTGATTTCTCACTTTCCCTCTTTCTCTTTGGCGAGTATACACATTCTATGGCAAAAACCTAAAAAAACAAGATTATGTTCCTTCTTTGATAATAAAATGCTATACTACTATAATTTCTTTGCAATACAGTAGTTAAAATTAGTTAAAACTATTTCCAGGGGCCTATAAGTAGTGTGGTATTTAAGGTACTAGACTCCCACATGGCCGACCACAGCTCACTTCCCAGATCTGACAGCTTGCTTTCTCACTTTCCCTCTCTTTCTGGTAAGGACACATGTCCTATAGCAAATTTAAAAACAGTAATAAGGGCCAGCAGGTGGCATGGTGGTTAAAGGCACTGGACTCCCACATGGCTGACTACGGTTTAAGTCTCGGACCTAGCGGCTAACTTTCTCACTTTCCCTCTCTGTCTGTCTCTGATCTCTGATCAGACTGGAAAATAATAATAATGAAGTTAAATAACTCTAAAAAACAAAACAAGAAAACAGTAATAATAAAAAGTAAAATTAACTAATTCTTTAAAAAAGAATGATTTTCAAATTATTAAAAGCTAGGCCTGTAAAATTAGAAATGATGACATTTTTGGGACCAGCAGTTGGCATAATGGCTATGTTGCTAGACTCCCATGGAGTCAACTGCGGTTCGATTCCTGGACTGGTGGCTTAAAACTCATGCCAGGCATGTGTGCATGCATGCCCAAGATACTGAGAGGAAAATGGAGGAGAAGGGATTGTGGGGAGGAGACGCTATTGTGGAGTGGCCATCAACTCCGGTGGGGAGGGGTGACTTCTTGCTTTCTGTCTCTGTCTCTGTCTTTCTGGCAAGTGTAAGCACCCTATAGCAAAAATCTCTCCAAAAAATAAAAGAATTATGATATTTTTGACACCCATTAATCAGTTAAATGCTAAAGTGACTTCAGCATAGCAGAATCACACTGCTCTAACACACTTAAAATTATAATTTTATGGACTTATCTAGCTATAATCTTATAAGAAAAACTCTTTGCACATAATAGCTATCCCTAAATGTTGAATAAGTAGCAACAGTGTTACAAATTCACCATTCACTGTAACTAGTATAAAAGGGGAAGCCAATTATACAGTCAGGGTTTACAACTCTTGAGATTTTAACAAAGTGGATGTCAGGTCAATCTTTCAACTGAGAGCTCTTAGTGTCGAGGGGACTCCCGTCCAGAAGAGGGCTGAGGCATCCTGAATCTCAAGAGGTCTAGATTGAGGTCTAAGAAGGTGTACGTGGTATAGTCATGGTGTTGGAGGTTCTTGTAGGTGGTGTTGTCAAACGGCTCAGCAGGGGCCAGGACTTGTTCGGGCTCTGTGGAGGGAACACAATGCTTGTGAGAACACAGAGAAAGCTCTTTTTGAACTTCACTCACACAAAGACACTGATGTATAAGCATTCTTCCTAAACCCCACCTGTAATCAATCATCTAATTAGAAAAGAAAAGCCTGTGAAAGCCATAGTATCAAGAGCAAAACAAAGGTATTAGTGAAAATATATTCTAAAACATATATAGCCTACCTTACAAATTAAGAAACGGAAGTTACTATAATGTGTCTTAACACCTTACTCTGTGTACTTCTAGGTCCTAGATTCTCCAGAAGTTTGAAAAATAGAACAAGTATGGAGGTTCAGGTCACTGAAAGGTGCATTAAAAAGAAAATCACCTCTATTAGAAATCTATCTGTACTAAAAATAAGCCATTTCTATTCTGAAAGAAAATTTTCACAGGCAGAAGTTATTGGGTCGTCAAAAACTCACGATGCATTTCTGCATAGAAATACACATTATGACTTTTCCGACAACCTAATAAATTATTTGTAAAAGAAAATGTCCCAAAGCAGCAACAAAGTGAACCGTCCAAGCCTCTAATACAAGAAAATCAGATCAACTTACATGATTAACATGAGATGTGTAGTTTTTGTTATTTTAACTTCTTTGGGGAAAAAAATTGTTGGTATACCTTAGATTCACAGACTAAAAACACTCATTTAGCTTTATTTCTTTAAATGAAACAAAAAATACCTTAAAAGCCACCCACTTAAACATTTGCCCATCCGAAAGCTGAGAGTGTGGGGTCGCAGCCACAGAAATGGCTCTCCTGCCACATGGCAAGAGAACCCAAAGCCCCGACCCCAGGCCAGACCTGTGTGATGATTCTGACAGACCATGTTTTTGGAAGCCAGGTCACTGGGGCTGTCTCAGCTTCTCAAGCTGCACAAAAATAACTTAAATACATTTTTTTCACTATTTCAATGAGTCCCTAAAGTGTTTTTCATTTATCAGTTGTGTTAAATAAAAACCAAGAGCTGACACCTTTCCAGTCTGAACAGGCAGAGTATCTTCCATATGCAGGTCCGCCTCCAGAGTGGAATGCATTGGGAAGGCTGTCACAGAAGGGAGAAGAGGATTATGGAGCTCTTACCAAACCCAATCCACCTGCAAAGCAGGAGCCCAGTGGGTGCTAGTGCAGGGCTCAAGGGAGACACAGGTTGCTCTGCAGACACAGCCCCTCCCCTCAGCAAAGGGAGTATTTGCACAATAACACATCCATGAAATATCAGAAGCAAGCTTTTGTTTTCAAAAGGTTTGTAATCTGAAAACCCAATCTGTTTTTTGTCCGGATGGCTTTTGGATTCCTCTCCTTTGTGAGCAGAATGACAGAAAACAGTAGCATCAGGAAATGCAGTTCTGAGGTCTTCAGAAGTCTAGCAAAAGCTGGCACTCAGCATATTAATGAAGGGGGAGCAAATGGAAGGAAAGAAAACACACAAATTCTGCGAACATAATGCAACCAATAACAGCAATGTACCAGGTCATGGAAATGAGAGAGGGGAGGCTTCGGAAATAAAGGGCAGACACAGAAAGGAGCTACATTTGTTAGTGCTGGATGCTTCTGAAAGAAGTCTTGAAGAGCACAGATTCCAACTGAAGACTCCTCCCCCTGCAATGTTTTGCCATGACCCTCCCAAAGCATGTCCTTTATAAAGTTTAATGCTCAAGAAGAGTGTAACAAAACAAGAATAAACACGGTTTCCCTCAAAAAGCTCTCTGTAAAAGACTGTTACAGAAAAATAAAGCAACCTATTGTGTTTTTCAGGTAAATAAGGAAATGTCCAGCGAAATAATAATTATGCAGCCCCAGGCTGTCTCTCCATGGCACTCCCAGTTGTATCTGGGAAGCATGAGTTTCCTCTGTGTGTAGGAGGCTACCAGCCACCATCTAGTGAGGCTCCCTGGAGACGGTGACAGCAAGCAGAACCACTGCTCTTCCCCCCTTTTCATTCAGAGAGGTGAGCCACCAGCTTGTGAGAACCCTTGACACGCTCCAAAGTTAGGGGTGATGATGCTATATTGCCAATTTTTAAAATTTATACTGGTTAATAGATAGTCAAGAGTGTCAAGGGCGAGTGTCAAGGGCATACTCCCATATTAAAATAAATTCAAAATATTTTAGGGGTTTTACACATACAGATGTGTATTACCACAATCAGGATGCACCTCTCAGCTTAGCTGAGAGTGCTCTAGGCCATATTTCTATCACGGAATTGGGTTTTACTGTATCCCTTCTTTATAACCAGATAGAATCGGAAATAATTCCTTGGAGTTTGGGCACCCAGCTAGAGCACTTGGCACAGATCAAGGTATACCCTGTGAGGTGTCCTGCTCCTGCACCCTCATGCCCTTTGTCTCCAGCTCTGCAGCGGCCGCCATCTGACTCTCACGGGAAACCTCTTTACTCAGAACAGGAACTGTCTTCAAACCTTCTGGAACTGGATCTTCCACAATCTCTTCTTTGGCCTTCAAGCGTCCTTCTACTACCAGCTTCCCCAAGTGTTCTTCATTAGACAGGGGCACAGTCACCTTGCCATTAGGTTCTGGCACCTGGCTTTCCAGATGTCTTTCTCTGATCCCAGGAGGAGTGGCCTGCAGCTGCCCTCCTGCTCTGGCCTCTTCAGTCCACAGAGTGGGTGCTGGGTTGCCACTCAGCTGTGCAGACAAACCTGACTTTGCGGGATCTGGTAAGGTTTTCATAACTTCAGATGGCTTTTGGCTTTCTTTATCTATTTCATTTGACCTAAATATTTTCTTCAATTGTTTTTCCTCCATGTTTTGCTTCAAAACCTCTTCATCTACTTGTGATTTGGGTACTGTGGATTTAGGTTTAGCATCTCTTCTGTCCTCAGAAGGCTTCGTGTTGGTCCCTTTCTTTTTTGGCTGACGGGGCTTCTCTGGATACATGACGTCTGTATGTGGCTTCTGCGACACGGTTCTCTCTTTTGCTGATGTCATAATTTTGGGGGCTCTGTTTTCAAAGGACCGGGAGGCCTCTGGCTTTGGAAACTCTCCTTTGCCTTTGCTTGTCACCCGAGAATCAACTTCTGAGACACCAGCCTCCTCATCAGACTCTGAATCAGAGGAGCTGGATGAAGATGAAGATGAATCATCCCTCACTTTCCGGCCCTCCTGACGAGCTTCTGAGTCAGAGCCCTGTTTTCTGAATGGAGGCAGAACTTTCTGTGGAAATTCCACCAAAGTCTTTCCCGACAAAAACTTTGGAACCCTTCCATCCGTGAACAGCATGCTGTCTTCAGAGTTAGGGCTAGCTATCATCCTGCCTTTATTCACAACTGATGGGTAAGACCTGGGCGGAGGTAAGTTTTTAGACCATTCAGCTGCAGTCTGGGTGGCTGGTAGCGTGCCCCTCTCCTTTGGCTCCACTACATCTAGGAAATGGCATAAAGAGGAGCATTATTTTTAATACTGAAGAAAACAACTTCAACTCTTTAGTCAAAGTCATAGACATTTCATAACATATCAACTCGTTACTTATAATATCTCCAATGCAGCTGTCCTGAGATACGTTCCTCAGAAACCCATTCTTGAATGAAGGCCAAGTCACGTGAGCAAGGCAACAATAAGAAATGGAGATGCTTTTCTTTGCAGCTGAAAATTTTTAAAATAAGGGTCTTACCAGCAGTAGTAACAAACGTGTCTCCAGTTTTCACAATGACAGCTTCTTTGACATAATTATTTTGAGAGCTATTTCACCCAAATTCAAGATAGGTACACTGTAATAAAGATATTTTCAGATGACTTTTGAAATTATACATACATAATTTCTTGAATCCTTGAAACATTGGTGCTTGTAAATATTTTAAAAATTTGCAAATTGAACTTTCTGAGCAGAACAGCAAGACAAAAGACAAGAGCCTGGTTTGGGTTTGAGATATGCATGTGCCTGTGTTTAAGAGTGGGGGCAATTGGAGGGAACAACGGAATTTAAGTAAAAGAAGAAAGATCCTTCAAAATCACAGTCACTTGGGTAGTTTTCTTTCGGGTGGGGGGAGATTTTTTCTGTAAGGCACATGTGCTCACCAGAGAGACAGAGAGAGACAGATAGAAAGAGAGAAACCATCCCCCAGGAGCTATGACCACACTGCAATCCCTTCTCCATTCTCCTGTCAGGATTTTGGGCATGCACATACACACGCCCAGGGTGTGTAAGCCACTAAGTCTGGGACTCAAACCGCAGTTGACTACATGGGAGTCCAGTGATGTAACCATTAGGCCATCTGCTGGTCCTGTCATTTATTTTTTTCAGCCAAGAAAACAAAAGCATTTCATATTTAAAAAGTCTAAAATAATATGCATATTTCTGAAAACAGCATATTTTAAGCAAAAACCTCTCCAAAAAATAAAAGAAAACAGCAGATTCTAAATATTAAAACATAGAAAAGTGCCTATAGAAGTATCATATTTCATAGAGTTATCTGTGAAAAAAAAATTTTTTGGAGTTTTGCTACAGGGTGTATATGCTTGGCTGGGAGGAGGAGAGGAGTGAGAGAAATCACCCCCTGGGGGGATGACCATATTCCTATCCCTTCTCTTTCATGTTCCTGTTGGGATTTGGGGCATGCATGCACATACACCTGGTATGTTTTTCAAGCTTCTGGGTCTGGACTCAAATTGAGCAGTTGGCCTTGTGGGACCCAGCTGCCTTAATCATCACACCACTTGCTAGTCCTCAAATAATATACTGATTAGAGACGATTTCATTTCATTTTCTCAGGTGGTAGTAAACTTTTCCTAATCATACAGATTAGAAGAAAATTATAAGAAGAAATTTTAAAAAACAACTTAAAATTTTTATTTAACTTTACTTATTATTATTTTCCAGTTTGATCAGAGAGAGAGAAAGAGGGAGAAAGCAAGACACCAGATCCAGGACTTGAACCACACTGGGCCATGTGGGAGTCCAGTGCCTTTACTTCCACACTACCTGCCTACCTGCTGGCCCCAATAAACAACTTTTAAAGTATAAAGCAAAATGTTTTAAACATGTTACAGATGAGTGGATATTAAATCCAGAGTCTTTAAGTCAAGGAGCCTATTGTATCCTAAACAAATCTTAATGCTTCTTCTCTAACATGGAAACAATGTATAACCAACCATACTATCTTAATTGTATCCAAACAGGTTATTAATAGTTTTCTGGGGGACCGGCAGTTGACCGTAATGGCTATGTCACTGGACTCCCATGTAGTGGACCACAGTGGCTGAAACTCACACCGGGGGCATGTGCATGCATACCCCAGATCCTGAGAGGCCATGTAGTGGACCACAGTGGCTGAAACTCACACCGGGGGCATGTGCATGCATACCCAAGATCCTGAGAGGAGAACGGAGCAGGAGGGATTGCGGTGTGGCCATCCCCTTGGGGGGTGATTTCTTGTTTTCTGTCTCTCTGTCTCTCTATCTTTCTGGTGAGCACATGTACCCTATAGCAAACATCTCTTTAAAAAAAAAGAAAAAGAAAAAGAAAAAACGCTTTCTGAGTTCAGGAACCTGCTAACAGACTAATAGGAAATGAGGAAAGAAAGCTAAGGAATAACAACTAATCAGAGATGAGCCAGAGAGAGGCTGACAGGCACTGTCCCAGTGTCCACCCAAGTCTGAATTTGACAATACAGAAACCGTGCCAATGCAATCACATAAAGGAAAAAGGGCGGGACTCTGGATGTAAGTGTAGCTTTACCTAACCCTTTGTTTTCTTTCAATGTCTTACATATGTCTCAGGCAGGATGTCAATATCCTCCGACAATGTCTTGGTTTAATAGTGGCATTCCCTGATAAACAAATGTAATGAAACACAAAGCTACCTAAATGAGCCTAGCTGTGAAGGCCACTTCACTGTGTAAGACAGGCCTTGCAGCACCTGCTTCTCGCCCCTCAGAGACCGTAACAGCCTATGTAAAAGAAAGGCCTGCAAACACGAGGTTACAGTGCACAGACGGGAGCCTCCTTTTTGCCGCCCTACCTCCTCTCAAAATACAAGTCAAATGTCCTAAATCTCTTTTCTGCCTGAGTGAAAAGTGAAGTCACATGACCTCCAAGTTTTCAGTGGTCCCCCTCTCAAAAGTAAAATGACAATGGTGTTTGAAATAAATGAGCAACTGTAAAATACCTCTATATCTGTCAGTGGTCACAAAACTGGGCTGACCTTGCAGCACAGTGGTTAAGCGCTGTGCAGAGAAGCAGGACAAAACATGGCCTAACAGGATACAAATTCCTCTTCCGCAGAATGACCTGTTGGGCACATGCCCAGGATTCTGACAGGATGGAGAACTGGGGGGAAGGGGCCACCAGGTGGCGTGGAAGTTAAGGCAGCTGGATCCCCAACGCCGACTGCACAGTCTGAGTCCTGGACCCAGCAGCTTAGAAAACAGGTTGGACACATGTGTGTGCATGCCCCAGATCTTGAGAATGGAAGAGAAGGGACTGAGGTGTGGTCATCCTCCTGGGGTGGAGGGGTGGTTTCTCACTTTCCCTCTCTCTTTCTCTATTTCTCCAGTGGGCACATGTGCCCTATAGCAACAACTAAATAATAATAATAATAAATAGTAATAATAAAAGAAAAAGGACTTGGTGTGACCAGGTCCAGTTGGGGATTGCATATGAGCAAGCTGGCATTCTCTCTCCTCCTTATCAACACCTTGTGCACATGGCCCCTAGCATTGAAATTAAAAAAAAAACTAATCTTGGAAAACAAGCATGTTCAAAGATGTATTTGACATGACATGAAAGAACAAAGTTATTAAAGTTTTAATTTTATGGGGTCAGCAGATGGCGTGGTGGTTAAGGGCGCTGGACTCCCATATGGCTGACCACCGTTTGAGTCCCAGGCCTGGTAGCTGGCTTTCTCACTTTCCCTCTTTCTCTCTGATCAAATTAAAATAAATAAAGTCAAATATTTCTTTAAAAATAGTTTTAATTTTATATAATAATTAACTTTAAAAAAAAAACCCACAAATGTTTGACTATAAAATTTGTTTGTTTTTAATAAATGCATTAGAAATGGACTCTTCAGATGCAGATGAGCATACCAGTTAAACAAGGCTGTGGAGTCAGAATGCTTGGGTTCAAATCCAGACCTCCCACTGGCTCCTGTGTGACCGTGAGCAGTTGGTGAAGTCTGCCACATCTCGACCTGATCTGTAACACAGGGTTAACAGAGCACCTACTCACAGGACTGTTTGAGGGCTGGACCAGGTAATGTACAGGAAGTACTTAAGAAGTGCTCAGCCCTGTTCATAATGGTGAAATACACCACATCTTAGGGACCAGCAGCGTGGTGGTTAAGTGCTGGACACTCCCACATGGCCCACCATGGTTCAAGTCCCCTACCTGGTGGCTTGCTTTCACACTTTCTCTCTCTCTCTCTGTGTGTGTGTGTGTTTCTGTTTCTCTCTCTGTGTCGCTCTCTGGTCAAATTAAAAATAAATAAATGAATAAAGTTAAATAATTCTTTAAAGAAAAAAAAGAAATACACCACATCTCTATTTCCAGGGAGTCCTCACTTTTAAAGATGAAATAGACTTAGGAGGGATAATGAACTTTGGCTTCTTGACATACTCTTTAAAAAGCTACATGGAATGGGGCCGGCAGGTGGCACGGTGGTTAAGGTGCTGGACTCCCACATAGCTGGCCAAGGATCGAGTCCTGGACCTGGCAGCTTGCTTTCTCACTTTCCCTTTCTCTCCCTCTCACTGCCTTTCTCACTGTCCAGATATATATATATATATATATATATATATATATATATATAAAGCTACACGGAACTACTCAGTTAACAATGTATTTCTGACTGTTGTAAAACTCAGCCGGGTGATTAGGCTCAGTGAAACTGGAGAGAGCACCCAAAAGAAGACCCTTGGCTCTGCCATCGGCAGCGTTCCTCAGGAAGGAGGACCTGTGTGCTATGAATGGCTAGAGACTTTCCACAGAGTAAGGCAGAACCTGTCCCACAGCCTTGGGGGGGTCCTACGGCTGATGGTAAGGGTGAGTGCTTAGATTCCCCACCTGCATGCAGGAAACTTATGTTAGAGCGGACAAAATGACCTCTGATTGGGAGGCATTTAATTTGGCTATGTGCCAAGGTGGGTGGAAAGTATTTCCGTATCTTACACTGATGCTATGGGGAAAACAGGACTACACAGGTCAACTCAGGAGCACTATTTTTTTTACTCTGAACAGAGATTATTTTTTTATTTTAAATTGCCAGAGGCAGTATGCGCTTGCTAGAGAGAGAGAGCAAGAGAGAGTGAGCGAGTGAGCGCACTCCCCAGTGGGCATCATCATGTTGCAATCTCCTTTCCACTTCTCCATCCTGTTGGGGTTTTGGGCACATCCACATATGCACCCACCTGTTTGGAACTGACTCAGA